CTATCGGCGCGTGCTCGTCTCCTTAGTTTGCCACCGTCAAGTTTTGGCCCTAATATTTTGCAGGGAGCTAGCAAGGTTGTTGGCACCACATGGATTGATGATTCCTTTGAACTTCTGCGGTTTTTTGAGATTCAGCCTGATTTTTCTGAATTTTTCCAACGTTTACCAGCTTCTGCTCCCTCTAAGTCTAGGGTGAGTTTGTGGGTCAGATCTGTTGTTCTCCCTGGCCTACTACAGTTTGACCGCCGCTGGCTACATACGCAGTTGCCGCACTTGTTTTCTTGGTTACACGATATGGGAAGTGAAAAAGCAGTTTTGGCATCCCTCTCGCATGCCCAATGGAGTAAACGTGAGTGGCTTTACACCAGGGCTTGGTACTTGGCAAGATTATCTGGTCGGCCAGGGTCATTTGCGTTTGGAAAGACGCCTCCAGATGCGTGTCCGCATTGTGGAATGCCGCTAGAGCTTGAACATTTTTTGCAGTGTGGATCACCTGTCGCCAGACCTGTTTCTATTTGGATGGAGCCTTCCTTGGATCTTTCTGTCCTTCGTGACAAAATTGTTTTTGTTGGTCGACGCACTGCTAAGCTGGCAATGGAACTATAAGACCTAGCGCCTTGAAAAGTCGCACTTGACCGCGCTTGCTTGGGCCATTCCCAATTCTGCTACCATGGCAATTTCCACAAACCCCTGTCTCTCAATTCACTGAGGTCCATCTGTTTGATATTTCTCCTCACCGTAACCTAGGTAACTTTTCCCTTGGCTTTAGGGGCTACACCGTGATGGGCTGACCTTTGTTTTTGGTTTCTTGATAGATGCTCTCCGCCGCTCTGGCCATCTCGATGGCGCAAGCGGGGGGACTGCTGAGGGGCATGCCGTTTCTGACTTGCCACCTCAGCCACCCGTCTAGGGTGTCAACATAACAGAGCCTAACAGAGCCTTGGGAGCCAAAAACCTACCACTCCCATTTTCTTCTGTTGTTTGGACCCCACCTCAGCCCAAAGAAGTCCCGACGCTTTCCAGCAAGACGCCTCTAGACCCCCGTAGCAGCCACACGGCGGCAAATTGGGAATGCTTGGGCCGCTCAGAAGCAATGCCTCGGGGATGTCACCAGCAAACAGCAAACCCCAAAAATATAGGCACCCTGGGGTAAGCCACGTAGGATAAGTATGGAACTGCACTGGTTTACTTAAGAACATGATCTACAAATAGTGGATTTTCCACATCTAGGTTAATTTGCAGGAAATTCATACTTTTCAAAAGCTTGTTGATGATCCAGATAACAATTGAACCATTTATATGCAGGGGATTTACCCATCAAACCCAAACAATTGTTGACCGTTAAACATGATTAAACATGGGGACTTGACTTGATTTATGGATAGCTCTCTCTCTCTCTATATATATATATTAAAAAAAACATGCTATCACCATCAAACTTAACCAGACTAAGAATGGGATATCATGGGGATGTATGCGATGGTCAAGGCTATAATATATTTGGGCGTGTCCAAAAGAATGGAGAGCCGAAAACCAATCGGAATTGGGGCACTCCATTCTCAAACAAACCCATATCTCTCTCTCCCACCCATATGTATAAACCTGTTAGCCAGCCAAAATTTGCCCAAAATGGAATGCCATGCGTTTTTTTTCCTCCCATGTGAACTATACGTCAAAAACTGAGCATTAGGTGACTCATGAATGACTATGCAAATGTCAATGCCTTGGCCAAATTTCAGCTGCCCTGGAACCCCCCTGGCAAACAAAAAAACAAATGATTATCCAAGTTGCCAACAATGAAAGCCCCTGCATCACAAAATCATCTTCTGATTGCAGGGGTCGATGCTCTCTTTGTGAGGCATCTCCTATCAAACTGCCGGATAGTGTTGGCGGCCCACTGGAAAGGAAGGGTGCTGGACCAACCCCTGAGTGGCCCGAGGGTGTCACCGTGGGGCCCGTGGGGGTGTGCATGTAGGGGCCGTGGGGGCCATGGGGGCTGGGCGGCACCCACCACTTCTCATTGGGCTGTTCAAACAGCTCCGGTTGGAGCACAGGCGCAGGGCGCTGGGGCAGCAGGGGCTGATGGAAGCGGCGGCCATCCATCTCGGCTTCAATGGAATCGTCGAAACCTTGGTGGAAATGATGTGGCATAGGGGGGTCATACCTGTGGAAACTTGAACTTGAGGCCCTCTCCTATTTTCATCTATTGTCCGTGCTGCTCACAAGTATCTGAGATATCCCATCTTATGACCCGGATTGTAACTATGATGATGCAAGCTGGCATACATTGGATGAACCCCATGAAATTCCGGACGATTTTGTTGATTGCATCCCATCCGTTTTGGGAGCCCTCCGAACAAGTGGCATTGGAACCATCAATTTCATATGGGTATGTCTGAAAATGTGGTATACCCGGGATACCCCACAGAACGGCAATTTTAAGGACGACAAATCACAAAATGTTGGTGAATTTCCCGTTATCAAAAAACAACTCAGTCAA